ATTAAATGTAAACAAAGAATTACTGTTATTTCACGCTGGCACAATAGAGTATGGGAAGTTATCTGCTCGACTGTTCAATAATAATAAATATTCCAAGTCAGTTTTTGAGTATCTACGTTCTTTGAATGCGTATAGCACAAAATGATTTGAATAAGCCGTACTTAATCATAAATATTGTTATTTAACTTTAGGTTTTGGTTTCAAAGTGACCAACCCGAAAAGATTGGGGAAAACCCAGACATTTCTATGGTGATATTTTATACCTATTATTTAAACTAAGGATCGACTTTTGAATGTTTCGTGTGATCGTTTTGGCTCTAGATTTGTAAATTGCGAAACACATTTTAATGCCCAAAAATTATTTTGTCTGTTTGTATTGCAGTTGATAACCATACTCACAACTTCAGTCAGGCAGCCACCCTTTTCTGATTATTAACAATATAGTAAATTTATACTAATATTATACTAATACCTATATTTATTTTAGAGATACATATACGTCCTAGAAAAAAATTCACGGCCTAATAACCTGAGAAAGGATAGAGTTGTTATAATTCTGCAAAATTTATCGATTTTAGAGAGGCGCAGACATTCCTAATTTTTTATCACCATCAAAATAAATCTAAAAGCGTTAAATATGGGCTACGAGCTGGATGTCAATAGAGTTTCTATTGCTAATCCAATTTCTATAACAGTTTTTTAGAACTAAAAATTGGTGTCAAATTATTTAGACAGAACTTCCCTAGCCCATTTAGTATAGTACAACATATCCAGATGACGTCATGCATTTTTTGAGAAATGTAAACGAATTAATTTTGATGAATGATTTATCATGCCTACAATAACCTTGAAACGTTTGCAATATTTTAAAGCATTTTGGAGTTTCAAAATTAAAGTGTAAAATGTTGCTCCACAATCTTGATATTTTTTTCAAAAATCGGATTATCTATCGAAGTACAAAAAAAACAGCTTTTTAGAAAAATTATAAAATTCTTATAAATTAAAACAAAGATTTATATTTAACGTTAAAATAAATGTAAAGAAGCTTGCTGCGCGTACGTTTCAAATGAGTTTTCCCTTAACAAAATTTTGTGACTTTTTACAAAGACACGTATATCACTTTGGATAGGCGCAGTGGTAATACTAATGATAACAGTATTGTGTGCCCAAATTTTCGGGAAAATGGACTTCGCTGTTTCTGATTTCAGTAAAATAAATTGACTCAATTATTAATTTTTGTGATTCACCGTGTATAAGAAATTTAAAAACTTTTAATGCAGTGATAAACCACAAGTACAGGCTTATTATATTTTACACATTTTGGATAAGATTTATTCGGCAAAATTTTGAGATGACGTCATCAGTTTTTTGAGAGGGATAAACAGCTATATTTTACAACTTTTGCAAGATTTCAAAGTATTCTGTCCTGAGGTTCTTGATTTAATCAATAAAATAAATTGACTCTTTCATTAGTTTTTTTAGTTACCCTGTATAAGTAATTCTAAAAACTGTGAGTGTGGATAAGCCAGTGTGTAATCATAATATTTTGAATATTTCAGAGAGGATTTATTCTGCAAAATTTTGAGATGAAGTCATCAGTTTTTTGGGGCACTGATTCACACATCACAAGTGCACATGTCATTTTATCAAATTTAAAAAAAATTGCTATTATAAATTTAGAGATGACGTCATCCCATCCATGGTTTAGTTTTTTTTTTTAATATTGTTTTTAAATTTTAGTTATCGTTTAACCACCTCCATGATATTCCTAATATATGTACATACAAAATTTGATAACAATCGGTTCGTTAGTTCCGGAAATTGCGTGTCTAATAAAAAAGGATACAGACACCAGACAGACAGTTAGACAGACAGACGGAAACGGGGGACCACTTTTTTCGAATTCTAGAGGTCATGACACGTCGAGAAAATATAGAAGTGGCAATTCGGCCAATGGACTCGAATACTATAGGTACTTCCTTAGCTTAAGCTCGGGAATTAAAATTAAGACGTAGTATAGAAGTATGTTATTTTATAAAATTTAAGTGACATTTACAGTGCAAAATTTATTGAGCGTTTCACCACCTATACGATATCCCTAAATTCCATATCAAATCTGGTAATTAATAATTGGTTCAATAGTTTCGAAAAATCGACACAGACGACAGACAGCCGACAGACGAGAGCTAGACGACAGACGGTTGAATAGATGGAATTCCAAAACTTATTTATTCACAATCTAGAGGTCATGAAACGTCGAGAAAATATGGAAGTAGCTATTCGCCGGATGGACCCTGTTATACAACTTCCTTAGCTTGCGTTCGAGATATAAAAATAAATCCATCGTTTCAAAGAAATATTGTAGTAGCCTAAGAGTTTTGACATTAAAAACAGTAGTAGTGAAATTGGATTAGTACATCATGCCGTTATAAGGTGGCAACTAGTTGTATTTCTTCATTTAATAATTATTAAAAGAAGAAATTAATTTACAATATTTATAGTTTATTTAAACTCACTCACGACTATACTTTACAATTTTTTTTAATACTGGGTGTTTCGTTTGAAAATTACGTACCATATTTACATTATTTTAAGGGTACAAATGATATTCGAAAAAAAGTTTTTCCTGGAGAAAAAATGGTTATACAGGTTATACAGGTACAAAAGATAAAAAAAGACTATAAAAATGTATGGGACGTTCCATTAAAAAGGATATGATTTTGGTGTTTAACTCTTAAATGGAACAATTGTCTATTTGCGATTAATTGTAAATTCTATCGCTAAATTATTTTTATTGCACAAAGATTTGTTTCTAAGTTAAGATAAAACTGTAGTTTTCTATTTTTCTCAGATAATATTTTGTCAGATACTTACGTTTTTTTTTAATCTAAAAAATTAGTAGAAGGTTATTTCGATAGAACTTTCCTCGCCCCTGAAATACAATAAAACCTACCCAGCTTTTTGGAAAAATGATAAAATTTAATTCTGGGAATTTAAAATATGTACTGTTAAAGTAAATGTCAATAAATGAGTATGTTTCAAACGAGTTTCTCCGTTACAAAATCTTATGAGTGAACAGTTCCTGATTTAATCAATTGACTCATTCGTTATTTTTTTGAGTCGCTCTATATAAGCATTTCTAAAAAATATGAATATAATATTAAATCATAAGTAAAGACTCATCATATTTTGCACATTTTAAATAAGACTTATTCGGCAACATTTTAAGATGTGATCAATTTGGGGGGATAAACAAGTATATTTTGATTAAAAATTTACCTGCTTACGATAACTTTAAAACGTCTGCAAGATTTCAATGCATTCGGTATTATGGATTCAAAATTAAATTGTAAAATAATTTTAATTTTTTTACAAAAATCTGAATGTTATTTTATACAATTTAAAACTCATTTACTATGTACAACTTTGAAGTGCCGTGATTACATTGTTTGTGGGAATGATTAAACAAGGTTAATTATCGTTTTACCATCTATATGATATTAAAAATACACATATAAAATTTCACAACAAATCGACACAGACGGCGGACAGATAAACAGACAGACGGAAACGGGAAACCTATTTTTTCGTACTCTAGTCAAGCTCTCGATGGACTCAAATACAGTACTTCTTTAGCTTATGCTCGGGAATTAAAAATAGCAAATTATTGCAGCTATACATTTTTACTTAACCTAAGGAAGTATTGTAATAGGGTGCTTCCGGAGAACGTTTCATGACCCATAGAGTATGAAAATATGTCTCCCGTTTCCGTCTGTCTGTCTGTCTGTCATCTATCGTCTGTGTGTGTCGATTTTTATTTGACTAGTCTCCGAAACCTATTGTAAAATTTTGTATGTATGTTGGGATTATCATATAGATGTTAAAACGTTAACCAAAATTTGTTACCAATATGGTAACGTTCCCTACCAAATTCTGCATACTAAATTTTATAAAAAAAAAACATATTCCTACATTAGTGGTTTATGAATCCGTCTTATCCTTTTTACTCTAGACATCCAGATTTTTGAAAAAAAAGGATATCTTTATTTTAACTTATGGGCTTATCATCAAAAATATTAAATTCTCAAAATCAAAATTTTTAATTTATTCAAGAAACTGGATTTGTTAGACTACTTAATGTGACCTATAGTTTGTTTTATCCAATAAAAAATGTTTCCGCTTTAACATTTGGTTATCCAATTCGAGGTTCTTGAAATGAAGTTCTTATGAAAATTTTGTGAAATATGCCCTGCTATCCGTTATTGACCTCTACCAAATTTTAAGTATTATTTATTTAACTTAGTATGTATTTAAAAATAATTTTGAAAAACTATATAGAACCAATATTGACAATAATAATTGTCAACCACTATCTTTCATATTTTACGTAATTTTTGCCTGGAAAAATGCTGCAAAAACTCATAACCGCATACGTAAATCACCTCCTTGCATGAATTTTCAGAAACGTAGATTTACAAAGTGAGTGTAATATTCGCACAATAAGTGAATCAATTTGAAGCTTTAATGGTGGATGCGAACTGCGTGTAATAGTAAAATTTTCCGCAATTGCCTAATTCGCGAAAGCGGATTTCGTGGCGAATGACTTCCATTAAAGCGTTCGCTCTTGTGCAAAGACGAATTACCACTAATTGGGTGAGCTGAATGCCATTCTGTTCAATCAGTAATAATCTCCAACCAATCAGCAATTTGCGCTTTGACTTTAATTCACCCCTAGATTCGTATCTGAAAGCTCTAAAGCATAGAAAAGCGAAGACCGCGGCAATCATGCAAATGCACTGCAATCTGTTTGCTAAATGTCAAGGTCAGTCATCATGCTTTCAGATATTTCGACAGATACCCCGTTATTGATGGTTTTCACTGACAAGTCCCATGAAAACTCCCCCTTTCTACGTAAATCACAAATATCTGCCAAGAATTGCGTGCTGGAACCTCCCGCGTTCGCAGATCGAAACTAATCGGAAATGAATGGTTTTTTGCAGATTTTAAGCAACAGACCTGTGAGCATGGTGTTGGATATTTCTGACCTGACGACCGCTTGGAAGGACAGCGATTTTATAACGGATTGTCTTTGCTGGCATAATGTGTATAGACAAAGGCATGGATCTCCGGCTTTGTCTATGTCGTCTGAGGTGAGTTTGAGCGGAAGCAATAAGTTTCGTTTCATTGGATGCAGCTTTTTTTATTTTTTCGGTTTATCGGGCCACGCGGATATGTTTTGGTCAAATCATGGCACAGACGCGCAAAAAGGGACAAAAAGAATAGATATTTTTAATAAAACACCAATATAAATGTATATTGGCCATAGCAAAACCGATAGTTCGCGTGCTTCGATTTTATATGAAATTTAATCTCGCTTTCTTTTATGTTTTGTCCCCACTTTTCGTGGGGTTACAAGACATAAAGTATTTTATTTTCGCGATTCGATTTTATTGATACTTGACCAAACCAATATACTTTTTGAATTTATTGCAAATACGGTCGGAAGGATTTGAGTTTCTCTAGGCGGGAATATATATCACGAATAGTATAACTGACAGTTAATATGTACCTAATTAATAAGTGCAAGGAGTTTCTTTAATAATTTAGATTTAGGAAAAAAAGTTAATAAAGAAAGTTTTATGGTTTTCCTATCGCGCCTTAATAATGCCAGAGATTAAACTTTGAAGTTCTTTTATGGGCTATTACTCCGTATCGATTATCGTTTATACTTTTATTTTTGATTTTTTAGTCCTGAAATAACGTTGGTACAGAAATAGGCTTTCAAGTAAATTTTCTGTACATCGTTAGATAACTTGCTGTTTAGGTATTTAATTGCACTTCACTATAGGTCTGCAAAAATGTACGTACAATTTTTAAAGGACTATGTGACAATTGGTGTAAATTATTTGATTTTTAGTTCAGTTGATGAAAAAATTAAGTTTGTAAAAAAACAGTATGATCTAGAAAAAGTTTTTTCGCAAACTACATACTTGATTTTATCGAAATTTAACAGATTGGGGAATATCAACAATATAACGTAAAGAAAAATTTATTTATTAATCCCCTCCAAAAAGTTAATGACGTCATCTGAATTAGTAAATAGATTTTTTTATTAAACCAGATTACTGTTGCTTCTGCAATGGGGTTTAATTTTTTAAAATTGGTAAGAGCGGTGTCTGCCGCTTATACTAGTACAAAAGGTTATTTATTATACAATTTGAATATTTTGCGAAAAATTTGGATACCTAAGGTAAAAACTCAAGGCGAATCCATAAACCACAAATGTGATTATTTTATAAAATTTACAAGGCGTTTACTAAAATAAATTTTGAGAAAATGTCTTCAAATTGTTGGTGGAGATGGTGAGACAAATGTTGATTAGCGTTTTACCATGTACACGACATTCCTAACATACATATAAAATTTGGCAACATCGGTCAGTAGTTTCGGAAATTATTGGTCTAATAAAAATCGATACAGACAGATAACAAACAGGCGATAGACGGACTACAGACAGACGAAAACGCGAGACCTACTTATTCGTACTGCAGGGGTCATGCAACGTCAAGGAAATCTGAAAGTAGGCATTCGTCGAATATTATGATGCTTCCATAGTTTACGCCGGGGAACTAAAAAATAATATTGACCTACTAAAGCATCAGGTAACTTGTTCAAAAGCAAAATTTTTTAATACCCACTTTTGTGAAAATTTAGACCAATTTTCTTATAGATTTCGGACTCATTTCTTCGAAGGATCCTAACAATTTTCCGGAAATGTCGGATAACTTTAAATCTCACACCGGAAGCATAAAAAGGCAATGTTTTTAAAATCAGCACGACCAAATCTGTATCCCAGAATTTTTTAGGAATTTTTACTTTTTCAAAACGAAATTTTTCAATAGTTCTCCGTTGATTTCGACCAATTTTCGATAATTTTCGATGTTTAACAAGACATTTTAAAATTCAAACTGAATGTCTTTAAATCTTGCAACGGAAGCATAAACACGCGATATTTTCGATGTTTCTGGAATCAACACGACTCAATCTATGTCTCAGTTTTTTTTGGCAATTCTTGACAAGTTTTTCAAATACAAAATTTTTTATTACTCCTTCAAGATTTCGGCAAATTTTCGACAATCCTCGAAATTTAACCAAAGACATTGTTTTATAGATGTCGATCTCTACAAGTTAGTTTTGGACTAATTTTTTCCACAGCTCCTACCATTTTTCCAGAATCGCCTATTTAAATATTGCAGTTTTTTTAATTTAAATATATTTAAATATATTTCCGAACCAAATATTTTTTCATCTTGCACCGGCGGCATAAACACGTTATTTTTGGAATCAGACTAAATCTATATCTATATCCCCTAGGATTTCGGCCAAACTTCGACAGTTTCCAAAATTTTGCTAAAGACATTAGATGTCGATATCTAAAGTTAGTTTTGGACTCATTTTTTCCACAGCTCCTAACAAAATCGCCCACTGAAATATTGCAATTCTTTTGGATTAAAAAAATATATATTTGAACCGAATATTTTTACATCTTGTACCGAAGTCATAAACACGTTATGTTTTTGGAATCAGTATTTTTTGTAAATTTTTGGTAACTTTTTCAAAAGCAAAATTTTTTAAAACTATAATTGCGGTCAATTTTCCACAATTTTCAAAATTTAACTAAAAACATTTTCTTGTAAATTTCGACCTCCAGAAATTAGTTTTGCACGCATTTCTTCGATAGCGCCTACTATTTTTCCGAAATCGTCCACTGACATATTGCAGTTTTTTTGAATTAAAAAAAATATGTTTACATTTTGCACCCAGAGATTCTATTTTTTGGAATCAGAAATCTATGTTTCAGAATTTTTTGGCAACTTTTTCAAAAACAAAATTGTCTAATAGCTCGGGGTGCATTGTCTATTGTCGAAAATTGCCACCAATTTTTGACAAGTTTCGAAATTCAACTAAAGACATTTTGTTATAGATTTCGACCCCCAAAATCTAGTTTTCGACTCATTTATTCAACAGCTCCTTACAATTTTCTAGAATCGCCAACTGAGATATTGCAATTTTTGGATTTAAAGAATTAAATTATTTTCAAACCGAAGATTTTTATATCTTGCAGCGGGAGCATAAACACGCTATATTTTTGGAATCAGCACGACGAAATTTATATTCCAGAATTTTTGGCTAATTTTTTGGCAACTTTTCCAAAAGCTAAAACCCTCCGAAAATTTCGACTAATTTTAGATCATTTTAGAAATTTAACTAAAAACATTTTTTATAGATTTCGATCTCCGGAAGTTATTTTCGGACTTATTTTTTCGGTAGCTCGTAACTATTTATTTTCCAGAATCGCCCACTGAAATGTTGCATTTTTTTGGATTAAAAAAAGTATATATTCAAACCGAATATTTTTAAATCCTGCAAAAGCAGCATAAACATGCAATGTTTTTGAAATCAGCACGACGAAATTTATATCCCAAATTTTGTAGCATTTTATGGCAACTTTTTCAGACGTAAAATTTTTCAATAAAACCTCTCCCTATGACTTCGCTAATTTTTTACAATTTTCGAAATTCTATTAAAGACATTTTCTTATAGACTTCGATTTCCAGAAATTAGTTTCGAAATTTAACCAAAGACATTTTCTTATAGATGTTGACCTCCGAAACCATACTGCAATTTTTGGGAATTAAAAGAAAATTTTATTTTCAAACTGAATATTTTTTAAATCTCGAACCGTGGACATAAACACGGTGCGTTTTTTGATATTTAATGTTTATTGCACTGATCAAACCAAAATGGGTTACGTAAACTTGCCCAAAATTCTGGGAAATAATGCTATATTATATTTTAATGTATTATACGCGTTACCAGAATAACGTAAATTCTGGAAAATCGAATTTTGTTTGTTTCATGATTCCTAGAATATGAAAAAATAAGTTGCCTGTTTCCGTCTGTCTATCGTCTGTCGCCTGTAGTCGGGCTGTGATCTACTAGCGATTCTAACGGTCATATAATTTTCGAAATTACTGGATTGATTATGAAATTTTAGACGATTTTGGAAGTATAGTGTAGATGGGAAAACGCTAACTAAAATATATCTGGCCATCCCCTCTAACAATTTGATGACGTTATCTCAAAATTTTCCAGAGTAGATGTTACTTACATTTCATAAAATACATATCTGTGTACTTGCGGTTTATGAATCTGCCTTTATTTTGACCCGAAATATCCAAATTTTGGATCCTGCAAAGGTTTTGAGGTTATCGTAGACATGGTAAATCGCTTATCAAAATTTACTGTTTTATTTCCTCTCGAAAAAAAAAAAATTACGTAATATAAAAATTTCGTGATTAAAACGTATCTAAAGTATACAACTATGACTCTTTATCGAATCATTCATATCTTTTAGAATTGCTTATAGCGTGTTCAATAAAATTATAAATGAATTGATTTTATTGATTAAATCAATTTCCATAATATTGATAATGTCATCAAAAATTTTTGTTATGGAAAAACTCACTTGAAATATACGTGTAGCATGATTTCTTTCCTTATGTTTTAAAAATTCACACATATTTTTCATTTTAACTTGTAGAGATATATTGTATATTAAAAAAATAAAATTCGCAAAATAAAATTATAATTTTTCCAAGGGGTTGGTTTTGTTGGACTCCTACTTCAGGGCGAACAAATTCTGTCTAATAGCTTAAAGCATTTTTTTTTTACTTAAAGATAAATATTGTTTGTAAGTTATTACAAATAAGTTAGCCAGTCCTATAAAATTCATAAGTTTTTTCATAAGTAAAAAAGTAGCAACCGATTTTTCGAATTTTATTGCGATTTAAAAAATATATGTTTTATGTGCATTATTTTTATTTCCTGCACTTCGTCTAAAAATAGCAACTTATTGTAGCCATTCTGTAATAAATTCTTGCATAAATATATTTCATGAGTCAAAGTATTACGTATATTTCTGTTTAATTTTATTATCGAAACGCATCAAACATAAATAATGACAACTAACTAAATTGTGCATTTAGCAATTTCTGTATACACAAAGAAGTGTGAATAATTAAATAAAATATTGAATATAGTAAATATTTCAATTTCTGAAAATGGAAATCCCTAAATTGCATCCTCCTACTACTCGTCATCCATTTTTCACTACACTTTTATCTAATAGACAGCGCAACCTGCATAAATATTTATGCGCGTTTCATCATCCCAAGCGTCATAAAAGTCATCTAAAATATAAAATAACTTATTTATAGTTTTGCTATTTCACAATTTATACCGCGTATATTTCGCTAAAGCGGATAATCATGTTTCGGAAATTGGTGGATGCGCCGGGGCGACATTTAAATTTCAATCTACCCAAATATCATTCATTCCATCTGTGCCGCCATCGATTTTCAATCTGTTTTAACAAAAAAAAAACTGTTTTAGCTCTGCTATCTTGCACAGACTTGGGCCAACCACCTCGCTCACACCAACCGATTTTATTACCGGTACGACAAAGACATCGGCCAAAATTTATTTTGTCGTCCTTCAAACGTTCTGGTAACTGACGTCACAGGTAAGCCCCAGCACTAGCACGTGAGCCGAATTTAATGTAATTTGTCACAGGACAAGAAGTAGCCACTTACTGGTATCGTGCCGTTCGTCAGTACGACTTCAATAAGGAGCCGGACATTCTGCATGCAAATGTTAATGCAGGTATGTGCGTTTTGTTAAGCTTACCATACACGATCAAATCATGCGGTGGATGTGCCTGTTTCGTTTTGGAAAATCTGACCTTTCGTGAGCCACTTTTGGTTGTCATGTTTGTGCACATACTAATTTAGATATTTCAACAAAGTTTGCAAACTAATGTTCACATGCAAACTATTTCTAATTTATCTAGATGCGGATTGTATTTATTTATAATAAAGTAAAAGTAGAATTTTAATATCTTACAAACATAAATAATTCGACAAAGTTTTGATAGTTTACGTAACTCGTTGTCACATAATTTAGGCTGCGATAAAAACTTGAAGATATATTTTGGTGAAACTTTTCAATTTTAGTTTACATTCATATCCGTCGACACGTATACATCATCCTTCTTTTAAACTAAAGTTATTTACAAAACTTTTCTCGTATATGATAACAAGTAGCGTATACACGTGTCGACTTTTGTATTGTTATATGTAATCAATAATCAGTAAATCAGTGTTAATAATGTTCTGCTAAAATTTCAAGTTTGTTACGGCTAACATATCGAGTATTCATTTAAAAAAGTCATCAAGTTGGCTCTGATTTTTTGTAAACTTTGCGAAGTATGTCTACAATTTACCTAAAATTTAATCAATAGCAGCTGACAACGCGGAAATGTCAACTGTATAGAGCGATATGAGTTAATAAAACACATGCGTTTTTCTCTACGTTTTCATATATCAAAAAAGCAACGCCAACTCGATGACTTTTTTAATTGAACACCTTTTATGTCACTTTGCACAAATAAAACTCTTAAGATAACGTCATCAGCTGTGCGAAAGGAACGTGTAGACAAATTTGGTTAAAGTTTTATCGTTTCCACAACAATCTTAAAGTACATCTGAAATATTAGAGTCATCAGTTCATTTGTTTCGGTTCTTATCTATATATCAAAAGTGTCAATAAATAGATGACGGAGAGACGACAATGAAAGATCAATATTTTTGTATTCCATACGCTGTCATAATTTTTTGAAAATTAGATATATCGTTCTTAAGAAAATTTAAAAAGCTTCATTCATTTCCTAAGAATTACCTCCTAAGCAACTGCAAAAACTAAAAGTATATTACTAAAATACAACCAGGAAATATACCAAACCATATTTTAATAATTTTGTTAAATAGTAGCATGAAAAACACTTTGTTAATGATGATTAAGCCAGTGTTAGTGAGTGCCGACCAAAAATATTAAAGAAGTGAGCAGTTTCTTAAATAAATTATAAAATTAGATTTTTCAATTTTTTTTGCGATAACTCCTATACGTATATATTAAAATAAACACATATCTGTACTGTTGAAAGAAAGGTAAAGAATGCATGGGGCATGTCATCAATTACAACGTTTCATGACCCCTAGAGTACGAAAAAGTAGGTCCCCGTTTCCGTCTGTCTGACTATCTATCTGTCTGTCTGTCTGTCTGTCTCGATGTCGTCAAATTTTATATGTATATTAGGAATATCGTGTAGATGGTAAAACCCAAACTAAAATGAATAAACATCAACAGAAGGATGCCGTAATCTCCAAAATTTAGTACATGCTCCTGAATGCATGATTTATAAATCCGTATTGAGTTTTTACCCTGGCATTCAGATTTTTGGGAAAAACATCAAAATTTTATAACAATACTTTACAGTTTAACTTTGAAATTGCAAAAACCAATTGCTGTGGAATTTTGCAAACATGTTAAAGTTATTTGAAGCATAGTAAGCGTTAATTAAAATTTGTCCTCATTTTACAATTTTGCCGAATAAATGTTCTTCAAATTAATGAGTGTCATTAATTAATTAATTAATCCTCTCTTCTGCATTGAGAAGACAAAATTAAATTTCATTTTATTTTAACCGCTGATGTTTATAATCTGAATGTGCTAATAGTCGAATGTTTTCGAAGCATAAACATAAACAGTCGAAGTTAAGCATGTATTGAGAAATTGAGAATATCTACATTTTTTCCGGTTGGGTATCTGTTTTAAATATACATTTCCTATTGTTCAATCACATTTTACAATATTTTAGAAAAGCTGGATTTTTGTGAACCTAATCACTAAAGTTCGTTTCTGATATTCACCAAGCTTCACCTCCAGAAATATTGTAATATACGCCTTGCTACCAGCTGTCATGCTATAAAAGCACATTTTCTAAAAAAATATTGTTTTTAAAATATTAATATTAATCGTTTCATGCTTTTGATAAAAAAATGTGAAAAATATTATGTATATTATTTCTACTTGTTGCTATTTCCATTGAATGCTAAAGCAAAATTTGAATACGAGTATAAAAGGAGAATATTGCACATTTCAGTTAGAGTGCTTATGTCTCTTTCATATTTGAATTGATTATTATTATTATTCTATGCTGGTTTTACGAGTTTAACACAATAAATAAACTTTACTTTTGCCCATTAAAATTGTAGATATTTCAGCAAATAAAATAATTTTAAGCACTTGTAACTTCAGAAACTTACTATAAGATAATCAAATTAATAATCAAAAACAAAACCGACAGAAAGCAAAGAAAATTTTAAACTGTATAAAATCGATGCCCATCCGTTATCGAGAAAATGGAGGTGCACTGATAACGTACGTCATAAATAAACCTAAATGTTCATATTGTCCTATAACCAGCAGATTTAGTGCGGTTTGTGTGCTTGGATTCGTTTTATTTACTCTGGGTTATACTGTTCAAAGCATAAGCTTACTTTCTAAGTGTATGAACTTAATTTCCTTCTTTATGTGAAGCTTATGGTTTAATGTTTACAAGAGCAGTAATTATGTTACTTCCAAGTCGTAAACAAGTTAACCACTTGAAAATTAGAAATTTTATTAGTCACCGGAATAAGAAGGCGGTTTTAGATTTTACGACTAACAAATTGCTTCAAAGGCGTGTCGAAAATAAATTTAAGCAAGGGTTTGATTTGTCTTCTATAAAGATTGTAAAGATTTCAATTATAGAAAATTTTAAAACTGGGTATTACAAAAAACTATACTTAATACTTGATAGAAGCATCACATGAACTTGAATTTTGTTATTTATGTAATAGTAAAAAAAACTGTTTTCATACAGTCTTCCAGAAAAAACACACACGGACTTAATACCAGGTTCTTTGCAAATAAATATTTTTTTTTCGTTTCAAACTATATCGTGTTGACAACACAAACGACTGCAATAGTCTAGTCACAGACATTTTCTACAGTTTTTTTAACTCTTTGATCGAACGTAGCAAAATGGACAATAGTGGGCATTGGCTGTCAAGTTTTAGGTGGTTGACAATTTGACATAAATGAGTGGCAGTTGATGTTGTCGATTTTTACCGCACATTTGTTGTCAAATTTTTTAAAAGTATGTATTCCTGTACTTGTGATTTATGCATCCGCTTTGATTTTTGTCAGAATTACTTTACAAAAATTCATTTACTTTTTCATCAAATGCTTCGTAGTTTTCTTACACTGTGACTTATCTACGAGTATATATTTTTTTATTTATAGGGGTTATGATCAAATAAATACTACCTAAAATTTTGAATATGCAATTTTTTTTTGAAGAAGTGGATTTGGATTGTATTAAGAGGCTAGGGAAGTTCTGTCTAAAAAAACTTGGATCAATTTTTACTTTCTGAGCGTGAGCTAACTACTTTTATGTTTTCATGACGTTTCATGACCCCTAGAATACGAAAAAATAGGCCTCCGTTTACATCTGTCTCTCTATATGCCTGCCGTCTGTCCACAGAATTTGCCTAATCATCCCCGCCATAAATGGGATGACATTTCCTCAAAATTTTTCATAGAATAAGTAGGATTTAAATTTTATAAAATAACATACTTCTGTACTTGTTTTTTATGAATCCGTCTTCAGATTTTCCCTGAGACACCCAAATTTTCGCAAAAAATTTGAAGTTATGCAGAAAGCTTTTATTCTAGTATATATGCAGAGTTCGTACAAAGTTATTCGTAAAGTCATGCTTGTTCGAATGTGGCATGGGATTTTTCGTTTTTTCCAGTGTTACCGCAGTAGAGTCCGGTGTTTTATTATTACTACTACACTACACGTGTTGGAATTGACATATGTAAGTTTGCTGAAATAATGCATTGGAATGATACGGAGTGATTTGTATTGTTTAGAGAATCATAATAAATGAAATAATTCCACGACTCTCAAAAATGGATGTCATTACTTAAGTAAAAACGGATTTAAAAATAAAGCACCGAAAATGCTTTAAGTAAATATTATTTTAAATAAACAAATAAAACGTACCAAAAGTAATACTCCTAATTAATATAGAACACTCCAGAGAATTTTTTCTCAATTTTATAGTAAAATAAAAATTCAGAATTTTTTTTGTGACGATTTTCTGTCTGTCTGTCTGTCTGTCTGTATCCATTTTTATTAGACACGTAATCTCCAAAACTACTGGACCAATCGTTGTTAAATTTTGTATGTGTATCATGTAGATGGTTAAATACTAACCAATATTTGTCTAATCATCCCCACCAACAATTTGATGACGTCATCTCAATGAACCGTGTTTTAAAATTATTTTAATGTTATTCAAAAATATACGCCTATACTTGCAGTATACGAATCCCTTTTCAGTTTTTTCGCCAAATGTTCAAATTTTCGCAAAATGAATTGCACGGTATGATAACGTTATATTACCCCCGCGGAATAGAACTCCTCGTGGCTCAGTGGGTCAACGACTTTGTCGACAAAGCGGCGATATTCAGTCGCGGGTTCGATGCCGAACTTAGCTTGCCCCTTTTTTTTGCGCTGGCAATGCGCTGTGACTAGTATTATCCATGTTGATTACATCATCACAATTTTTTTATTGGGCAAATTAAGAACGAGTTAGTCACCCCATTTATAAAAATTATAATATTCAGAACATTTTGTTCGATTGTGGTTTAATTAAGACGTTTAGACCTTTGTTTTGAGAAGACAAATCGAACTAATTTCTTCGTGACAATCTTTCGAAGTATAAACATCAATAAACACTTGAGTTTGAGATTGCTATTACCTAGTGCTGAAGGAGATTTTATGCCGTTAGTTCTGTGCTTTAAATATATTTTACATTGTCCGTACGGCGCAGGGTCTGCAGGGGGGTTATTTATGCCGTTGGTTTTTACTTTACAGCGGTTATCACAAAACGAAAATCATAAAATCAAGTTTTATATATTTTTTAAAGAGCTGAATTTGTCAGATTATGCTTATAGCCTTCGACCAATTTTTTATTGATCAAATTAACATCCTCTTTTTCTAGAAAATGTGGGAATACCCACATTTTTGTTTAATTACGACAAATAAGAGTAATATTCAAAACATTTTATTCCATTGTGGCTTAATTAATAATTTGAGTCCTTTGTTTTGAGGAAACAACTCATTCAAATTAAACAAATTTCTACGTGACATCCTCTCGATGTATAAATATAAACAATAGAAGTTAAGCATGTACAATGATAATAATACACTATTTTCCGTTGGTTATTTGCTTTGAATATATTTCATATTACCCGTATGTCTGCGGACGGCACCTCTTTGTAATATTTTCTGATTTCTAAATCTATATGCGGAATCTGTGGGTTCGACTTGAACTGAGTTGATTTTCTCTGACCTGATTTGGTCTGACCTAACTCCACAAGAATCACTTTTTTTGTAAGAAAACCCGAAAGAAAAATAGTGCGATGTATTCGGTGTTTAATACTATTTATGAAAATTTAATTTTATGTTCGTATACCATAGAAACATTGACAGACACGAAAAAGGGATATTATATGTTGCCTGATCTGATCTACCTGACCTGACCTGATCTGATTTGATCTGATCTGACCTGACCTGACCTGACCTGACCTGACCTGACCTGACCCAACCTGGCTTGACCTATTCTAACAATATACTCGGTCCTTAATTCGATTTCTGAACATTTTATTTTGTGTCTAAATACCAGAGAATACCATTCTTTTCAAACCGTTGAACTGTTTGATCGTGTATGACCAACTTTAAAGTCTTGCGTGATAACTAATGACAGTCTTTGCTTCAAGGCCACTTTACACAGTTAGTATGGGCAGCTTCTCGTCACTTCGGTGTAGGAAAGGCTCGATCCAGATCTGGGAAGATCGTCGTTGTTGCTCATTACGCTCCAGCTGGAAACATTTCTGGAGCTTACCTTGAAAATGTGCTTCCTCCGTCAGCCGAATACTTCACGTTGCCTCCGATTCCACAGAGTCGCTTCATGGTGCCCAGCGAGAGCTCCACACCGGATTCAGCCCGGAGCATCTCCGGAAGCACCTGATTTTGTGAAGTTAGATTTATACAGAGGAGACATGCTGTATTTTGAATTTTTTATAATTCGGTTAATTGTGTCAAAGGGCTAATGTTGATAAGCAAGTTGTAATCGGAAAGTGCGGCGGATTTCACGTTAAGAATAGTGCGGTTATTATTCTTCGAAGGGAAATCTGCTGCAACTTCTAATTACCAGATTTGCTCATGAGTGCCTATTTTCGTAATTGGTAATACATTTTATAAAGTCAGTAGATAACGTTGCAGGAAATTTTCTAAAGTAATTATTCCTGGTCGAAAGTTAACGTTTTTTTCTGATAACATTACCATGATAATAAATTGTATTTACACGAATTTACAGGTGTTAACAGAGACAACAATCTGACAATCAAGTCTTGTATTAGTTTATTCTGTACAAAAATGTTTTTACTTATTTCCAACGAATTTCTTTAAAACAATCTGTAAATGTCTTGACACAGGTGGTGAAATCCATTTTCGATAATGTTGGAAACAATCCCAAGAAACGCTAAATACGTATTTAATAAATGAAGCTTTTATAGCTTTAGACTGTTCTATGCTTATGAGTAATTTTAATGTAGACGTTGTAGTGAAATTTGTTTTGTGACTCATTTTTACAAATGATAATTTTAATTGCATTTTTAAGATGTCGTTCAAACTAAGAAGGTTCTAAAATACATAACACAAAGCGGTCTAAATATGTGGTCTAACATTAATAATGTTTTTTAAACCCAAGGCCGTATTGTATTAATGCACAAAAATCTTTCCGTGATAACAAGATTACAAAACAGGAGGTAACTGCTACCTAGTAAATTTCTCATTTTTTTCCCGATAAACAGACAATATGTTTAAGAGTGTAAAATAATGAGGAAAATAAAAAGTAAGGACATGTCAGAACAACGTTCGAATAAAAGTGTTCATACAGCTTACAATAAAAAAAATTAATTGTTTGTATTCCACAACTGAGAATACTAATTCTCATGTTATAAACGTTATAAAAAGTCACTTCTATTCGTCAGAAATGAAATAATATAATTACAAATGAAGGGACGAAAGTAGGTCTTAGTGAATTTGTATTTGTAGCTGGCAATTATTTAGTCACTTTTTCCTTTTGTAAAATATACACACAGACAATAGGGTTGTTCCTAAAAACTACTCATACAGTTATAACATGATAACTTCGCCTAGAAAGATTTATAAACTCTCTTTGAAATTATAGTTCATGTTATAAATTTTGAGGTTTTTGCTTTATATGTAATTTTGAAACGCACTGGATTTGTTTCATATCTTTTAAACATGCGTTGGATTATTGTTAGTTCAGCCATAAAAGATTTTTCAGTCAATCCATCTCAAATTTTTAAAAAGTATTGAATAAAAATTTTTAATATTTAAAGAAGTATTTGTGGTCTAATATAGTGTGTATTTTTATCGTCAACATACTGTTCACTATACTTTTTAGTTATTGAAGTTTCGCCAACACCGCTGCTAACTTAAGTTTGATTAGGTCTCTTTGTTGTTTTTTGACACAACGTAAAAGTTAAAAAAATACATTATGATCTGAGAAATAACTGTCGTTTGATATATGATTTATGTATATGTATTAAACTTCGGCTAAAAATATTTACATTTTACAACTGTAAACATATTACAGCGGATCCCTCATAAAATTCAGTAAATACAAGTAATAGTCCGTCACATAAACAGCAAAATAGACCACGTGCCGTATTGAAATAATTTTTATTTGTTACTCTTATAATAGATATGTGAAGGTCTTGGCCAGGCAAGCGGATTTACTGCGTATAACCAGACTATTTCTTGAGCCAAACTCGTATATGTATTTACCAACAAGTTGACAAAATAATTCAGTTTGTTAAAATTTTCAAAAATGAAAGTAAATGTCAAATGACTATGACATCTTTTTTATTATCATTAGTGAAAGTGTATGTACTAGAAGAAAAATATAACTTTAAATTAAGGCTAATCAAGTTTCGAGGTTTCTTTCTTTACAGGAACAAGATGCCAATAATAGCAGTGACCACAAAACATTTCAAAAATAGATATTTTAATATGTTGACAATAAAAACCACAAATAAGTTTGACGACAACACATTCTTCTTACTTGGGCAAGTCATACTTCACGAGAATAATAAATCGGATGTCACAAATATCGAATGAAAACAATACTAAATTTTTGTTTGTCTGAATGGAATATTATGTGATTTTCAAAATGAAATAATTAAATTAGTCAAAATTTATATGTATTAATAATAAACACATAACAAGTTGAACCACTTTAAAATATAACATAAATTTAAATTGTAGGCTTTGAACCTAAAATCTTTGATGAAAATATTAAAAAGTAAACAACTAGAAGTTTTAGCTAGCACTTTTAATTTTTTCGATAAACCCTAGTGTCTACTATGTACAATGTTTTTTTTTTGTCATACATATATTTTTTTCTCAAATTTTGTGTTAGGTACAATAAAACAAACAAACAAAAGCTTTACTGCTAATGTAATTTGTCGAGCTTTTATTATGTCACTTAAATAACCTCTTCGACTTTGCTGTTAAATCTTGTTGCATATTTGCTCCTATACTTCTTTCAACTTCATATGTTAATTTTGCTTGTTCTAATTGTTCTATAATCGATTTTGTGTATACGTGAAGGTACTTGCGTGACTAATTATCATAACTTAACAAATAAAATAACTTTAAAACACCTTATAAAACTTTTCGATTATTTCAGTCATTAAAAACGAAGATTGAAAAAGCGAACATAAGATTAGTGCCGATACTTGATGGGTGCCAAATAAATAACATAATGCTAAAAAAATCGAACATTTTTAACTAAACCTTTTTAATTATTATGCTATAATGTCAGTCATTATTTTAACAATTTAATAATTAGGTACCTATATTTTTAAAAATAAGCTAACTTTTTATCGAAAGCTCAAAGCTCTATTGCTGTGCATAATCAACTTAATCAAAGAACAATCTGAAGTTTTTATCGATTGAGAACAATCAGAGCTAATTGAATACGTCCAAATTTAGAAGAATCTTAGATAGATGCCATTTAGAACGTAGAAGTATTGTAGATTTTACTACTTTTTGCACTTCTTGTATACTATCTAAAACTCTTGCACGCGCAGCACTTATCTGCATAGCACGAAGCAAATGCATTTAACCTAATGAACTTCGGACTGTACCTAACAATCTCATAAATAATAATAAAAACAAATCTGGAAGACATGGTTGGAACAAAAGCACTTGGTAAACATTGATTGCGTTTATAATTATGTTTTTTATTGAAAATAAATAACGGCCATATTTCGAAAACATCGTCGCGTTGCTACGTACATATCATTTAAATGGATTATAATTATTATGAGTGTTCTTAGCGTTATGAAATTGTGGGTGTTTAGTATACAAATATCACTTATTTTTGGAGGTTTCTGTGATTTTGTACAATCAAAATATTTTGCTCTCTGTAATAGGTGGTGTATATAGTTAGGAAAGTTATGATACTCATTTGACTGTACTTATAGTTATGTGGCAATCAGTGTTGCTCATAATCAAAGAAGATCCCCTCCCTAAGCATGTGCCTAACAAAATATTGCTTTGCTGTAAAAATAAGGTTGTGAATATAGCTTTAGACGTTAGATGTTGCGACATTCACATAATATGGCAAAAGAGCATTCTGATAATTATTATTAACAGTGTAAATTTCTTTATTTTTACTCTTATCATTCAAAAAGTACACCACAAATACATAGAAAGTGCTTAAATTTTTTTATTGTTACTACTACACCTAAAAACTGCTGAAAGCTTATAATATGTTGCGCGATATAACAAATAATTATAAGAGAATAACTGCAAACAGACAACGTATGTACACTATAGATTGCCTTTTATGTGAATATAATAGCAATATACCTGAATGTTACCTATTCGTTTGTAAAAAATTACAAGTAGTACATTGTATCAAACTGTAGGCTGTGAATGATGTAAAATGTTGTTATTCGTTACAAGTAATCGTAAAAATAGTATGTTATTGTAAGGTATTACGTAACGTAGACAGCATAATTTTATAAAATTACTTTGTAGTAATGTTAATGTTGTTAACTGAACATGTGCAAGTCCCGACAGGCAAATTTACACAAACTGTGACAATTTGCTGTTTTTATTTTAATAATGTTAATAGATTTTTGTAGTGTAAAACACAAATGTAAACATGAAAGTAGCAGTAAAGTAAAAAAATTAGTGCCATATTTACATCTGAACTACAAAAAATTTAAAAAATAACCTGGGAAATTAATCATGACGTGGAAAACTACAAAATCAATCGATCATACAATACAGTCATTCGAGTAATTTTCATTAAATTCGTCTGCATATCCAAAACTTTCCCAGGATAACAATATAGTACCTAACAAACTGTTATAGTTTTCACGTATTTATTTTCTCAGATTTAAATCCAATAAATCCAAATCATGATTCAAAACAACTGTTGTGGCTTGCATGGTATACCTAGGTACTACTTTAACACCAACATTATTAATACGTTATATTATACATACCTAAAATAACTGTTGGCGTTGTTAATGTAAATGCTGTGTTTGTTGTTAATAAACAAATTTTGGACGTTCTTGTCTAAATTCATTGTTTAAAACAAGTAGCGGCTGTTCAAAATAGCACGTGTTTATAGTGGACTGTATGTTCTTACATACAAAAGTCATAGTTGTTTTTATTTTAGGTGTACATGTAGAAAATACTTCAAAACTTTTATTAACAGCATTTTAATATATTTTATACATATTTTTTATTGTTGCTAAAAGTGGGTATATTTTTTGATCTGTTAGCCTTGAAGATTAAAATTATGTACACTAAAAAAAAAAGAAAAATATTGAAGCTTACGAGGAGTAAAAGTGCTGAGGAATTTTTGCTTGCGAAGATTAAAAAAAAACATATGCTGTAAATGGTACAAAGAAATATTTACTTGCGCAACTGAATTAAGATTTTCTAAATATTTTACAACGGTAAGGGATGCTTCATCCATAAACAAAAATCAGTGTACAACATGTGTACAACATATATTTGGAAAATGTCTACAAAATATTTGCCTACAATCTGCAGTTAAATGTTTCGAAATTTATTTTCATAGAATTATATCATGAATTTAAATGACATGATTTTATTATTTGCCGGTAGAATTCTACATTGTCGTAAATACCGTTTGTCGTAACTTCAGTCACGATCTGCTAACCTTACTTTTTGGAGTCGTGTATTTTATTGAGGTTAAACCTCCATAAACCAGAAAATTACATCAAACACTCCAGGAAATGTTTAAATATTACAGTAAATTTTTATCGACATCAAATTTCAACCGGCTTTTGTTAGGTAAGAGGGTTAGTAAGTCTTGAAAATATTTTAACAATTCTTACTTTTCAGCCGAATTTAGTACTTCAAATGCGTTAAGAGAGAAATGGGATCTCATAACAGCGGTTTGTCTAGAGAGGAAACCTGTCGTAACACAATCTCTCACAAAACTTGAAGAAGATTATAAAAAATTATTAGCTCAAATTGAATTTGAACGAAGTCTCAAATCAGACCATGAAATGCGTCACGAGAAAGAATTGTAAAGGTCATCCAGTTGTTTAACTTGCATAAATCAGTAATTTTTTAGGAAGCAGCTGGAACAATTAAAAAAGGGGGATGATGTAGAAGTACATTTTAAAGAAACTGCTCAAGATTTTGTGGATGCAGGGACTGAAGAATTGACAAAATTTAAATTTGCAAGTCGAATTACAGGTTTGTATGTTAAGTGCAAATATGTAGAAACTAACTGTTCAAATTTATAGAAGCTGACAAGAAGAATGATGTGAAATCACTTAACAGGAAGTTGGATAAACATCTGGTACTTGTTGTGAAACAAAACATTGGGAAAGATAATTTGTATTTGCTACCACAAACTCTAAGACAAGACGGTGAAACATTGCGGCAGGTAGGATTTGTATTTTGAAGTGACAATTTAATTATTTTTGATTTTAGACAGCAGAAAGAATTTTGCGGGATACCTGTGGTAAAGAATTGAAAGCAATGATTTATGGAAATGCACCATTTGGTTTCTATAAATATAAATATCCAACTGCTGTTAGGAAGGAAAATGAAACAACTGGGGCAAAGGTATATTTAGTACGCAGTGAGGCTCTAACTCAGTCGTTTTGTTTCATAGGTATTTATTTATTTTGCAAGATATGAGAAAGGACAAGTGGGAAACAAGAACTTGGAATACAAGTGGCTAGATAGGACAGAACTTCAGAATATTTTGCCTAAGGAATATGGACAAAGTGTATCACAAATGCTAATAAATGAATAAAACTTAGTATTTTCTGTAATTTAAGAAACGTTAATTAATAAATAAAGGTGAATTATCAAACAAAATGTTATAGAGCATGTAACCAAATCGTGCCATACGTGTAAAAGCTCAGAAAAATGCATTTCTGTACACAAATTGGATTAAAACGTGTATTACTGGTTACATATCTCCAAGTTTTTATTTGTAAAATAGAACAGTGGAAAAAAATAACGCTAGGAAACCACCTTAAAACATAAGAAAAATTCAATCCATACCGTAGATGACCATCTATGTTTTAAATTTTAATGGCCTCATGCCTCATCTTAAGGTAGGAGTTTTTTTGGTCAATCAGTATAGTGTTAAAATTAAGGTCAAATTTGGTTTGTAATTTTATAGAATGTGATAACCCAATCTTCCCGCCTTTAAATTGACCTTGAAAAGTTTGAAAGGCCCGCGAAAAATTCAAAAATTCAAAGTGTGGCCTTGGCTGTGATCGTCTAACAAATGAGAACCTAGGTTGTGTGTTTTTTTTTTGTTTTTGAAAAATGGCGGGAAGATGTTCTTTCATACAAGTGAGCATTTACTGCATGTGAGTTGAGAGCGCAAGAAATAATAGACAAAATTAGGTAGGTCGAAAGCCTTCCTAAGGAGGAAAAAGAACCGAAGAACGACAGGGACTCAACTTGCCCTTCGGGCGACTCCGCAGGGTCAAGGCGTCATCGGTCTTCATTCCTCAAAATCCCCTGAGGTTTTATTCACCGACATATTACATTTCAAACACCTTAAGATATATGAAAGAAAAACACTCGCGAATTGACAGACATACACATATGAAAAACGAACAAACGGAAATTCTATACATCGGAAAAGTGGGATTTGTCAGATTCCAAAAACTATCGGCCGATCACATCCCTCAACACCTGCTACAAGCTCTTTACTAGGATCTTGTATGCCAGGTTGGAGAGGTTAATAAGGGCGGTACCTACTAAATAAGATCAAGGCGTGCGGCAAGGAGGAACGTGGAGGGTTGCCGAGAGAACTTGGTAATAGATAATGTTGTCACCAGGGACTCCATTCACTGCAAGCGCAATCTCTCTCTGGTCTGGATAGATTACCGTAAAACGTTTGATTCAACATCGCATGGGTTATTGTTATACTTGCTCAGGTGTCTTGCGGTACCTGCCCCATTAGTGAGATGCAAAAAGATCTGTGTACGACACGGATCACTACGGAGTTGGTAACGTTCAGAAGGGGAGTTTTTTAGGGTAATTCCCCAAGTCCCGTTTAGTTCTGCCTCTCACTGTTGCCGCTCTCCATTGCCCGGGATATGTGTGTGGACCACCAAGCGATCGGGGACATTGGATCACTCATTTGTTTTATCTGAACGATCTAAAATTGTATGCCTCTGGAGAGAAAGATCTCAGACAATCTCACAAAGTGGCCCAGGAGTTACGCGGGACGTTGGCATGAAGTTGCGAGCTGACAAGTGCGCAGTGTTCCATTTGAGGAGAGGACGATCGCCGGAGTTTTCTGAAAACGTGCAACTCGCTGATGGAAGCATCTTCAGACATCTGGATGCCGAAGAGACATACAAATATCTTGGAATAGAGCGTGCACATGACGCTCCCTCACTCTTCGCGGCAAGTATAGACACCTGCTTCGGAAGATTTGGTCTTCCGAACTCTCGGAACAAAACAAGGTGTCAGCCATCAATATGCTTGCCGTTCCAGTCCTGCTCTACTCCACTGGAGTAGTGAAGTGGGCAGTTGATGAGTTGCACAAGGTCGACAAGGATACCCGGACGATGACGATGCACATGCAACGAAGTTAGCATCCTAGGTCGTCCGTTCCCCGTTTGTTGATAGACCTATGCAGGGTATGTTCTACCAGAACATCGAGACACGGGGTTTGTCAACAAGGCTGACCTTCAAATATCTAAGGTCAGCCGGGCTTACGTATGAGACTGAGGGATTCATTGCGGCTTGCCAAGATAACGTGATAAACACCTTGGTCTATCGCCGCAACGTGATGGGTGTACAGGTGCCTGCTGTTAGCTGCAGGGCTTGTCGAAGGGCACCAGTGACGCTTATGCATTTGTTGTCGGTATGTCTGGCAAAAGCGGTCTCGGTGTACATCCATTGACATAACGCGGCACCTTCGGCACTCATATATGAGATAGACCAGGAATCGGTGCCGCCTTATTTGCCGTACGATGTACTCGGGCCACAATGTCGTGTTGGCAGTTCTAATTACCGGTGTTTTCGCTGCTATCGGAATTGAAAATCATTCCGGCTTGCAGGAACTCTGCCGAGATACTGTTAGGCTGGATGCAGCAAGCTGTCATCCTTGGTTCGTTGCGTCTGCTTAGGGCACACGATCGTGAAACCTACAGCTACTTACCGACCGGTGGGCAGGAGTAACTGTAAGAAAAATCTTCTTTTTTATTGTACTGGTGCGGTTGCAATCAGGAATCGGAACTCACTGTGACCCCGTCCGGGTTTTTAGTAAAAAAAAACTAACAATAATAATATTTTATGTGTGGTTTGTTTATATGATATGGGAATTTGTTGAGCCTGTTTGCGATGTACGCTTGACGAACTTTGTTTTTATTTAGTCTATAACTTGTATAATACATAATTAACTTTTAATCATCATCGGAGCTTCGGGAGTACAAATTTTTACATTAACGCGGTCACCTGTATAAAATGGATGTCAGTCTACGTTGACAGTTTTCTGATTTGTTTTTCCAGCAATAACAAAATGAATGAATTGAAGTTCATAGGTCAATTGTAACAATGTTAGCAGGGGATTTCTTATAAACTTTTTCTTTCTAAATTCTTAAAGTACCTACTTCTTCGTGGGATGCCCTTGTCCTTTAGCCTGGTAATCCGCGAGATAGTGGATGATGTGGCCAGTATGTAACAGACTTTGCACCGCGAGAATGGGTATGTGTTGCAGCTCGTGAATCTCGCAACAAAACGTAACACTGAAAATTGAGGAGGGGTCATCGCTTTTTGGTCCCTGTTCAGAACCATCGATCCCATAATCGTACTCCATGTTTGGACTCCCGATACAGACTTTGATTTTATTCATATTTAGATTTGCTGCCACATCATTGTTAAAAATTTGTACTGATTGGTAATGCTTGTTTAATTTGTTTAATCTGGGGAAGAATTTTGTTCACATGCCAGTTTTGCCAGGTTGTGTAGATTATTACACTCTATTTCTTTTGTGGTGTTTATTTTCTACGCATCCGTGATTGTTTACATTTTTTTTAATGGCTAATGTAATTTGTTACGATCGGAAATTAAACTACGAAAAAATTGTAAACTGTATGTTTCGTAGAACAGAAAAATAGGATACGAAAAGTAACTATAGAATCTGAATTTGGTCGAAAGTAAAAAAGGCTACAAGATCACTTATGTTATGTCATTGGAAAATTTCGTTCACCAAATGCAGTTCTAGCAATAGATTTTCCACTCATTTTTGCTGATTCGTCATTTAGGTTCTACTTTTTTCTCTTCTATAAAATATATCATCGACATTTTTTTCACCCAATTTTCATTCGTCGCAAACTACATCCGCCTTTTACATCGGAATCTTGTTTAATTTGTTTTATAACAATTACTCAAAAAAGTTGTTGTTTAGCTTTTTTTGACCTAACATTGGATAATTTCAATGGATTTTTCTGTATTTTTTTAAATTGAAAATAGCTCAACTGGAGTATGTTAGAAAAAATCTCGATATCAAAACGGGAAGCTTCGTGCCTAAACAATTCCAGAAGCAACCAAAAATACACACATAAAACTGTCTTTTATATTTCATACCATTAAAAAAATAAAACATACCTAGTTTTCTCTTTTGTTGCAACAACCCTGACGGCCAGATGCAATAGCTACCGAGAGGGCGATAAAAACACGATCAGGGACAGACATGGATTTTGAAAGTTTGTCTTTGATTGCTGCATCTTTATACGTCCATGGCCGTCTCTGATCGTGTTTTTTATTACTCCTTCGGTACATACCCTGTTAAAATTAACATTTGGGAAGAATTGATGCAAAATGCATTTAAACGATGAAAAACACTCGGATACTCGGAGTTTTTCAGAACTCTTACTTTGAATTTGGTTATTTTTGCTTTTAACCTATAAACTTACGCTTATTTGCAAATTAACACAGTCAAACAGATAACTAAATATGTTTTATTTAAAATGTAATAATGGTAAATATCAAAGATTTTTATAAAATTGTATTATTGGTTGCATTTTGAAATTTTTAGGTGTAATTTCCTATCAATAATCTATATGTCTGTATGTAATATTTTTGTTATTGCGGTAAATTTGAGTCAAGTTACGATGCCATCTAAATAAATAATAAAAATGGTAACCTACGATAAATTACACACGAATGCCACACATTAAAAAAACAAACAAACAAAAGAAACCTGTACAGCTGGTACGATTTGTAATGTTGTATTTGTCATTTTGATAACGTATGTTTTCGGAAGTTTTTTATTCAAGAACCACAATGTCGACTCCGTTAAAATCCGCATCATCATTTTTACTTCAAAGAAGATGTTTGTCACCAAGATCTCCAAGATTATTATCATCACATGAAAATAAGCAACTGTTTTTGTCCGTACCAAGGTAAGTTTTCGACACTATTCGTACAACATATTCCAAATCCAAAGATGTTTAAAATAAATTTATTTAAAAAATGACATCGTACCATGGACACAATAACCCAAAAATTTTCAAATTTAATAATAAAATATAGCCCCGCCAGATCAGGTTACGTTTTTTTTTAAGATTATTTTGTTTATTTTTTTTTTTAATTTCACAAACAACCAAAACTTCAGTCTCGTTGTAAGTTGTTAATATAATTTAACGTTGTTTGGTTAGATTAACAAAATTTCTTCAGTAATATTTTCATGCAAGTTGTTGCCGTACTTTTTTGTCCAAATCATTGCAATTTGAAAAATCTGTACCTTTTCATCTTTTGAAAATTTGATTTCCTTTTTAACGCTGGGACGAACTAACTTGAATAAACAGTTTTCTGAAATAGAATAAAATTTGACGCTATTTTTGAGGTTTATTATAAGAAGGCAAGAAAGCTGGGGCAGAGGAACTTAGTTGTATTACCAGTCTTCGTAGAAGTTTAGTTTTTTAAATCAATCATATTATTTTAAATTAAGTAAATAATTTAATTTGAAATAATGCACAGCTTATTTATTTCTTTTTCAGTGCAGAGTCAGAACCGAAACTAACACCCCCGAAAAAGCTCACAAAAATTTCCCATGACTTTCCTTGTGAAGAAAGTTTAAATTTGAATACTCCCCGCAAGGAAAGTTTATTAAATAATGGATTAAACAAATACGATTTACCCCATTTAATAGGAAAAGGCTCATTTGGTACGGTGCTTAAAGGAAATTGCAAAGGTATTTTGCATTTAACATTGATTTACACAAAAAGTCGAAAACATTATTTATGTATCGTTACAGGAGATATGGTGGCGATAAAATTGATAAAAATAAAATCACCATCAGACCAAATAAATGAAAATAATGCACGCTCTCTTTTACACAGGAATATTATCAGAATCTTGGATGTGAAAATTAGCAGGAACTATGGTCTTGTCGTGATGGAATACTACAAAAATTCTAAAAACTTACAAGATATTATGGACGAAAATACCACATTAAGCGAAGAAATCGTTGCTAATTATAGTCTAGATGTTACCAAAGGTCTAAAACATTGTCACGAGAATGGTGTTTTACATTTAGATATTAAACCAAAAAATATCTTATTATGCAACAACGTTTGCAAAATTTGTGATTTTGGTAATTCTATGAAAGAATTTGATAGCAACCAAATATTTAGATATCAGGTAAAGCTTGTTTCACGAAAGTTTAGTTTTAAGAAACGTGATGACTGTGATGAGTGTCTTTAATCAAATTAGACGATTCTAAATGAATTGCATTCTTATTTTTCAGTAGCGTTTACTTATTTTTAGGTAAAAGTCAAGTCATTAAAAAGAACTGAAGCAATTACAATAAAAGTGAAAGCAATTTAATAAAAATACTTACAGGGAACAGTGGCCTACACAGCACCAGAAATTTTGAAAGGAAAAACACCTTCTTCTAAATGTGATATATACTCTTTAGGTTTTTTAATTTGGCAACTAATGTCTGGAAAAAATCCTTACGAATGTTTAGATAATGAAGTAATAATTTACAAAGTAAGTAACTTAAGTCAAAAGTAAAAATATCTGTTTTGTGGCTTTTTAGGTAGTTAAATACAATTTTCGCCCTTCTTTAAGTTTTAAGAATGAAAATTTGTCAAAATTATGTAGTATGTGTTGGAATGAAAATCCGGCTGTCCGACCAACAGCGGCAGATGTCTGTGATAGTTTGGAAAATATCTTGGCTAACATTTCCAGTTTGCTTTAATAATGAATTTCTTGTTTTTTTTTAATCATTTACTAGATGTTTACTGTGATAATAAAAATTAAAACCCATGAAATACAACGTTGATTTTTATTGTAATTGATGCATTGTTGAAAGTATCTTCAAACCCCAAGGTTGCAAAAATGACTTTGAATCAAAATGCAAAATATGGTGTGCAAATTCTTTATTCCTTTGTTCTGAAGAGGCAACTTATTTCCCAGCTGCAAAAAACCTATCCGACTTTCAAAAATGAAATCAAACGTCGAAACGATACAAATATTTGATTATCACAAATTTAAACACATAGGTCCGTATTCTTTTCCTCTAATTACCTAATATTTAGAGACGTTCTTTAAAATTTTCCTATTTGTCTGATATATACTTTTATCGGAATATGTCAGCCATTCTAATCAAAATTAATAAATAATAAAGAAAAAAAAAGGAAATCGTCATTACAGTAACGGAATATTAGTAAGTTGTTAAGATGGTGTGACGGGTAATTGATATATAAACAGTCAAGAAACCAACAAACGTGCTACAGAGAACTCTGTAATTTGAGTTCCAAAAAACCTGCCGCATATTAAACGTTCTATCTTGGTGTCGCTAAGCAGCTAATCTGCGCTCACGTGGACGCGTGTCTTCCCATGAATATATAAAAATTTAACATCTGAAACGTTGTGTACCCTAAGAACCAAAATAATCCGTTAAAGACTTATTTATGTATATGAACCCAAAACAAGAGCCTTTCCTACGTTGTGTACTAAAATGACAGGATATGTCCTTAGGTGGATTAAGTAAAACAACTATTGAAGTGAAGGGCAAATATAAATGCAAAATTATCAAACACCATTTATTCATATCAACCGCCTTTCCAACAGTGTGGCTAAAAAATATCACAAATATAGCAAAACCCTGTAGTCCTTCTTCAAGTTCTATGCTTCTGTTCATTATTACTATTTCTCGTCACTTTTTTCCGGTAGCCGTTGGTTAAATCTTGCCAAGATGGAATGCAATAACTATGTAACTAACACCTTGGTATCATAAAATGAATTATTAATTTAACATACATCTGTGGACATTAATTTTGTTTGATAATTGACATTTAATGTTATATTTTACTGCAGAACCACAATAGTGGTTCTAATTGATAATTTCATGTCAAACACACGTGCTACAAAGTGCAATACCTTAAAATACTAACAACAGCAGGACAAACACACAATAGTGATAAATTATGATAAAATTTCTGTGATAACGGATAACAAAGTGAAAATATCTGTATTTCGAAGTGACTACTTATTAGTTCAGTGTAAGGTGCAGTGCTGATTACCTTAACCGAACTCACCAGCAAGAGATAAAGATGCTCACTTTCTTCGGTACGAATTCAAGAAAAAAATCAGTATCTCCAGACACTGTCCACACAACTTAAGGGATGACCAAATAATGCTACGTATTTGAAATTGCATTAGGATCACGCGTATTAACAAAATTGCAAACTTGCGTGACGGTAAAATTGAATTTAAATCTGGTTTTTTATTCAGAAAGCTGACATCTGGCTGTAGTTGTGGCTGAAAATATTTTACGAACATGTGCAATCATTAAACATCTGATAGCATCTTTATTGATCTATAAAACGATACCATTTAATACAATCCAATCATATAACGAATCGGAAACGGAATAATCCAAGAAAGAACATATTTAATTATAGTCCATATCTTTCCGAAAATTCCTGAACTGATATCTGAATAATATACAGTCATAGCTGGTGATCCCCCTGGTACAACCATGCCTTGTCTACTAAAAGGTGTCATTACATTATCCCATCCTTGCACTTCTTCACCTGGGTGATAATACCCTTGTTGGTACGATGGTAACGAAACGTCGTAACCTGTAAGAATCACAAAATATGACAAAATATATTTTTATTTTTTATTTTACCATAAGCTCCTTGTTGTTGTCCAAACGGTGCTGAAATCAGAGATGTTTATTATAAGCAATTCTTGTCATTTATTTTTTTGACTTACCATAGTTACAGTCGACATTAGCACCAACCTGTACAGAGAAAGCACATACAAGAGTGATATTAATACTATTTTTTGATGAGTACAATAGTTAACAACTTTAAATTTAGAAACAGTAGTTCATCTGTTATCGAACCAATTTATTTTTACTGACAATGAGAGGTAGGAGAAACTTTCAATTATTAAAATAATGGATAATCATTTGTTAACAGAAAAACTTCGTTTGAATGTAAAGGTATTTCACTTACCATTAACAGAATAATAGTTGCAAAAATGCAAGTAAAACACGATACCTGCATTATGTGGCTGGATTTGAAATTTGAAAGTTCTAATGAAATACTAAAAGTACAAGTGTCAATGCACAATTTCCTGGCTATTTATTACCTTTTGAAATGATTTATGATGAGACATTCAAAATTTTTATGTTGTTGTGGGAGCCTTTTTAATTATCACTATTACAAACTAGTTAAACGGAAACTTCTTCATACGTAGGTGATTCCATTAAGTGACAATGTTGTTTTGCATTGTTTTTAGTAATCAATTATTTTACTCCCAACGAGATTCACGAACTTGACATATCCTATTTCCAAACAAATTATACATTTTGTACGCTTTGTTAATGCATGTTTTGTATGCATTTGTGATATTTGTTTAATTTGTGCTGCTGTATTAATCAATAAATTACCTCAATTACGTTAACCCTATTTTAAGCGGTCTGTCAGTTAGTTCTTAATTGGTGTTAGGGATAGGATATGGCAACTTTCAGATGTATCAAATTTAAAAAGATCTCTTTGAGTTTCAGAGTGGCCAGGCGGACATGTTATATGGCTGAAGTTGGTTCCCAACGTTTTGTCAAAAACTCGTATTGTCATATTCACAATTTAAAAATAACCATTATGGTATACCTAATTGCCAAAAGTGTACCTACTAAAATCGTCTCACCTATCACAGTTTCAGTCAATTTTTTATTATCAATGTTATTATCAGCTTAAAAAGATTGAACAAGCAGTAATTTCTATAAACCTAACAGTAAACAACAAAAATTTTATCAAATGATATGTTCGAAAAAAAATCGTCCCATATTATGCTGTATCCGGCAAAATGGAAAGGTTCAATTGTTCTTGAAACACGAAGCTGTTGTTGCGTTGATTTTTACACACTAAATCTAGATAAGCACCAGTTTTCCAATCAATACAGAGAAAATTGAAATCTCCAAACATGATATAGTTTTGGTATTTGGTTTTACAGGTTCTGAGTTGTTCCGGAATTTTGGAAAAAGAAGCATCGGCAGCGCCGACATAATGAAGGTATCACCACGAATTACAGCAAAAGACAGATGGAAATACACACTTTTAAAGAAGTGTTTCAGAAAGTTTTTTGGAACATATAAGATCAGAATGAATTATCGTTTAAATAAATACTGTTACAAAATAAACCCATACGCCGCCCCGGTACGATGCCCATGGGTTCTAGTAAGTACGGCAAAGATGATTCATCGTCGATGATGGCGGCCGAGCGACGTTTAAAAAAAGTCTGGAAGCGGAAGTCGCGATGGGCAATCCAGAAAGACCTCGACTGCGGAACTTCTAGAAGGGAAGGAAGTATTTAAATAGAGGCCATCTTCGGGAGCAGGATTATTGTTTAGTCGAGTCGAGCCGAGTCCAGCGAATGTTAAGAAGAGCCAGTCAAGTTGCACCACGGAGTTATTCTGTACATAATCGCTGTAATAGTTAGTCGAGTAATTCGAGTTACTACGAAATGAAGTTGAATGTATAAAGCAAAGACTTTCATTATACTCGTACTTGTCGTAAACAAAACAATTATGGGTATACATTTAATAGTTATATCCTGATCTCTCTTCGTTTAACTATTTTTACGTTCTTGCCCTAGCAATCTTAATATATTTATTTGAGAAACCTTTTTCTCTGTATAGGAAATCTAGCTGTTTGAGAATTATTAAAAGAAACTTATAAAAGTTGGAAAAGGAACCAATTCTTGATATGTCAACAAAGGAATAAGTAATAGCTAAAAAAGTGAAAATAAAACTGGTGTCAGGAATATCTTATTATAAGGATATTATTAGATCTAGCAGACTCAACTACTTCATTTAAATGGACCATCTAGCTCGTCCTTGATTGTTTCGAACTCACTATACATTTTATTATTTATTAACAACACCTAGAACCGATTTTGCAAAAGTTTAAAATTTTTAGTAGCTTCAGAATGTAATTTCATTAGTGCAGTATGATTTTCCACAATTTGAATATGAGTTTCAAGTTTGACACTATAGTTACGTCAACAGCATCTGTGCAAGGAAAAGCACAAAAAAAGTTCGAAAAATTCACCCAAAAATATAACTAAACTTAAAAGGATTTAAAAAATATTTAATAAAACTATCAAAGAACGTAAATTCGAGAAAACTATTTGGACTGCAGAGTTTGAAAAAATTTTCTGACTATAGCTTACTACTGAACTGATACCATTAAAACCGTACATCCCTTATGTCCAAAAAGCAACATATTTTTAAAAATTATTTTTTATATAATATTACCCTATATTTTTTTCCCGAAAATCAGGGTCCATTTGTAATTTAAATTTGTATACTAATTTTATGAATGATATCAACTTTTAATGGGTATGTATAAACAATCATGTTAATTTTGATACGTACAAAGCAAATTTAATTGCAGTGTATCTGTGATTATCCGCTATTAAATTAACAAAATTAATCGATTGCTTAATATAGGCAGTAAGTAATTCTAAACGTTAAAAAAAGCATGAACAGTATCTTATCTCAGGGGAGCAATTAAAAAGATATTAGTGCTGCTATTATTAAATCCGTATTAGCGTTTTGATAATTTCTAAGATGAACTATAATATTAAAAGGATTTTTTTAACCTTTATGTGTGCAGTTAATAAAGGGGATCACTTGTTAAACCGCAAATAAAGGATAATATCGCTATAGTGCTCACTTCAAGTGAGATACATATATTTAAAGAAATCAGATAACATCTTCAAATTTTAAGGTACACTCACCATCCAACACTATTTTGCCATTGTTCTGTTCCAGGAGTTTTAGGGAAATCAAATGGATCGTTTTTAGACGAAGTATAAAATTTGATTATGGAAATTTTAGAAATATTATTTAGAGACTATGGTGCATTTTTCAAGTAATTTTCTTATTTCATTTTTAATAAGTAATAAATTTTAAGTGAGATGTACTTAACTAAACTTTGAAATGACGTCATCAAGTTTTTCAAATAATTTCTGATTAGTGATTTACTATGTTTGTGGTAACCTCAAAGCGGGTATAAAACTTCAGAGAAATTGATTTTCTAGATTCAGAGCTACATTGTAAATTTTTGTTGTACAATTTTAAATATCACTTACGTACAAATTTTGAGATGATGCGTACAAATTTTTGTGGAGGTGATTATACGGATTTTGATTAGCGATTTACCATCTACACTATATTCTTAAAATACCTCTAAAATTTTGCAATTAGCTCCACATTTTCACAGTTTATCGGTCTAATAAAATCGCCCATTTTTTTATGGAGCGATGATACCATGAAATTGGTTAATTGTCAAATAGACCTTATGACCAGCGTACCCTTGGAAAACAGAAATTATATTGGACTGTTTCTTAGACGTAAACAGAAATAAATTCACATATTGTTTATTTTTGGATATTTTCGTAAAGCAACCTTAAAAATTAAAACCCTATTTATTGAAAACCTAGCACCACCTTACATGTTATTAGAAATGTATTTTTATAACAAACAAAATGTGGTTATTCTTTTATAACCAGTATATGCAATAATAGCAGTGTCAACCAAAATTTTGAACAAGTGTCACTTCTAAATAAATTGTAACATTTCATTCTGAAAATCTGACTTTTTCGTGCTTATCTCCCATGTTAAAATAAGAATAGGTTTGGATTAACAAACCGTACAAAAAGAAGCCTGTTACACTCCATGCACCAAGTTAATTTTTTGATTAAACATATCATTTATATCAGTTTTAATATGTATAAACAGCACCGTGTCCCAGAATTTTGGAAAAATTAATTGTCTATTTAATAAATACAATATGTTGTTCCAATAATTATTTTTTTGACACGTCCTGTATAAATAATTCAGAAAATTAGAATAACTATATTACCAAAATACAAACACTTTTAGGCGGATTTTTCAACAAACACAAATAAATAAATTTCAATTTAGACTCTTAGGACAAATTATCAAACTGTTTTCTACAAATTTTATGCGTAAGGTTTAAAAAAATGTATTAATTTTAACGCACATCGATAAGGTAACGTAAATATTGATTCTTGTTTAACCACAAATATAAGTATAAATATCAAGCGAATCTTACTTCATAAATTTCAACTGTCATCACCACAGTGTTGATGAACTGATGAGTAATAAATTTT